ATGCGCAGCGCAAGACGACCGTGTATCTTTACGCGAGCCGAACGTTGAGACGAGCCGAGATTATCGGATCTCAATAACGGCTGGGCCGATTGAGTTGATAATAGGCTCAATCGATAGCGCATACCCAAATTATATAAGAAAAGTATGCTTGTTTTTACTGTAGGTGCTGTAGAAAAAAGTTATAATAGTCCAAAGTCGAAATGTTAAAATAATAGTAAATTCTAAAATGTCCGCTAAAATGTCCAGTTTCCGATTTCTGACGTTAGGTGCGCTGATGGCGCTGAGAAGCCGCGCTGCGTGCGCTTACGATTTGACATTTTTACATAACCTTTCAGATCAGAAAGTGTTATAAAAAAGTAATAATAGTGAATTCGGTCTAACAAATTTAGTCACTCGCACTACATTGTTCTGTTACTTTGGTGCACACTCAAGACTGCTTATCAATCCAGAGCAGTGTAGTGCGAGTGACCAAATTTGTTAGAAATTCGTATTAAATGAAATAAGTGATATGTCGGTGAATGTGAATGCCTTAGTAAGTATCTACTACACCTTTGAAAATTTTTTATTTTGCAGGTTATTCATACATGATTCGAGACTTTAGAGGATGATTTGTCTAAAATAAATAAAATTGAATAGCTCAAAGTTTAATATTTCTGTTCTGAGTATCCTAGATTAGTTTCAACAATATTTGTAATTTTCAGTCAATTTTATATTTTAAAAAATATAGCATAAGTCGTCTTCTGTAGTTAACGCTATGATTGACAACAAAATTATCCACATCACAGTGTGGGCAGAGAATTAAGTGTAAAAAAATGTTTATATCATATTTTAGGTATATTATTGAATTTTATTTATCCATAGAAAAAAGATTATAAACATAAACTAAACAAAAAATCTTGTAAAACACAAAATGAAATTGACTGGAAATGATAAATATTGTTAGAACTAATTTAGTATATACATAGAACAGAAATATTGAACCTTGATAATTAATTTTATTTATTTTAGACAAATCATACACTAAAGTCTTGAAACATGTGCTGTTTAATAGAATGCTATACCTAATAATTAACGATACTTCATTACTTAACGACGTACACAACTTCTAATTGTAATATCAGTAACGAACGATAATGATATAGCATATTACAAACGTACGATTTAATGAAGGGAAAATCTTTTACCTTTAAAATATAATACAATTATAAACATAATGCAATTATAAACATAATGCAATTATAAACATAATGCAATTATAAACATAATGCAATTATAGCAAATACAGCTATAATTTAAATGACTCGTTGATATAATTTCAACTATATCTTTCGCTATTATCGATATCAACGAATCGTTACGATAAATTTCTCGATTAAGTAATCAGCGATTACGATCATTATCGATAAAATAAGTATGTTTTTTTTTCCACCAGATAACATCAATAACTAAAGAATGCATGATTAATTATGTTTAGAAAACAGATTAATACTAAAATTAATAAACAGATAAATAAGCTATAATATTTCATTCTGTTTATTATATCAATGAAAAGAGGTTTGCTCTCTATCAATTTTTGACTACGTTCTTGCGTGGCAAGACCACGCAAGAACGTAGTCTACAGTAAACTACATGTTAATTTCATTACTTTGAGGTGTAGCAGCGCCAAGTTTTTTTGTCGTTTTTTAATAAATATTTTATTTTTAATATTTAAAAATTTTTTATAATATATATAGTATATCTAATAATATATATAGTATATATAGTATAGTACATGTAAAATATGATAAAATATAGTATATAATATAATTAATTATATATACGAGAGTTTTTATGTACAAGAGTTTTTATAGAAATAGTGTTCAAGTTTTTTCATAGTTCTTTAGTTCCACTTGGTGCCATTTCCTGATACCACATTTTTTTGTAAGAAGTATATAGAATAGCTTTTTTTGAAAATTTTAATATACCTATACGACAGGTTTTTTTGAAAGGTTTAATATATACAACAATTTTTTTGAAAAGTAAAACAATACTGTTTTGTTTTAGTTGTGATAAGAGCGTGTACTTGGCGCCTTTTTTTTACCTTTTTTATTTTTATCACCTTAGAAATGTAATCAGTTCTTGCGAAAAAAATGTTAACAGACTTCCATTGCGAATTTCCGGAATCAACGATCGAGTTTCTCGACTGCATAGAAGGTTGATAGCAGTCGCGCTGCTAATTATTTCAAACTGGAAGCTAGAAGCGGCAGAAAATATCGGTAATTTTGGATTAATCATTATTCCGATGCAGTGGAATCCAATAGGACAGCGTGCGTATGTATGTTGAAGTGGAAGCGAGCTCGTGAGATGCATTAATCCATTGCGGAGTTTACAGGCGTGTGGATTAGTCGAAATGAAAAGAGAAAGAGGAAAGAATTGGATTGCGCGAGAAAAAAAGTGTTTCTAAAAAAGTCCAGATACTCTATTTAAGAAAACACTTGACGAATCGTATATCAAAATATTTTTGCAAATGTTAAAATACACAC